AAAATCTGGAAAATATCCTTTCTCTACTCCAACAAAAACAAAGAAACTTAAGAAGTGCAGGTCATGAAGAGATTTTAAAGAGGCAAATATGGAAATGCTGTGCTCTACTCCTAGATGCTTTATGATCCATAAGAGCTGATCGCACTTATGTGACTGATGCATCTGCAGTCACATGACAGAAGTGCCATGTAATCTGGAACGCATCTGTATTTTTATGATGCAAAAGAATCCAATTTCACGCAAAAGACGAGATGCTGATTTCAGCCCAACAACAGACACATAGCTAGGAATATGACAGGGATGGCTTGAGAAGGCAGCCCACATGGAACAGGTCACGAGCAACTCAAGCCACCAGGCTCACTGTCCATTCATGTAGCAGAAAAACTAATCTTCATCTGGAGGAGATGTTTCTGGTTGATTGCAGTCACCTGCTGCCAACAGGCTCAACAACTTTGATTTAAGCTGAAGAACAACAGTGGCATAATAAGTGTATATTTAACAACCACCAAGGACATCAAGTTTCGAAGGTATAAGCATGCTTCTGACCAGCACAACAGCAAGCAATTGGAATGAAAGTAATTGCAAAGAACTCTTAATAAGTTCACGAATACAGCTGGATCCTTATGTGAAAGATTATACTCAACACTGTCACATATTTTATGATCTAGATGTTAACCATTTAAGATATACACAGTTCAATTACTTGCTAGCAAAAAAACCTAGGGACTCCCAAACCATATCATCTTGTATCAACGCTTGTATTTACTAATGAAAAATCCATTTTTTCTTGTAAGAGGGGTATAAAGGTAAAAAACAATTTAACAGTAAAGAACTCTGATTTTAAAATTATTGCAGGTTTCCAAAACACAGAAAATGTTGAGAAGAATGAGAAAGACAGAGGTTAACCTAACATCACAGTTTACTTCTCCATGAGCAAAATTTAGTTTTGACATTTTTAGTGCCTGTGTATCCAATTCTGTAACAATTTCCTTCCTAAGGCTTTAAGTAAACAATTAATTTGTTTACTTATTGAATACAATTGCAGTACCATAGTCTACTTTGCCCCATGTTTTTTGATTTGTTTTTGCTGGAGGAGGGTAAGGCAAAGGTACTTCACAGATTTTAAATAATTCTTTTGCTAGTGATTGTTAGTATGTAAGAAGAAGAGACATCAAGTAAAATCTTAAAGTAATAGCTACATTTCAACTCAATAGTGAATCAATTTACTATTTACCGTACACTCGTCATACTGTCAACACCACTGTTCTTGCTAAAGCTCAGTCTTTATTAACACTAAAAAAGGTCTGTAAGAAAATGGAGATGTCAGCACGACCAGTGTATACACGGCACTAGTGCATGGCCATGCACGGCGGACATACAAAAACTGGCTCAGCAGTTCAGAAGAGTGGGAGTGTTACAACTCATCTCTGTTTGAAACGTCCCAAGTTTGCAGTATGTGTACAGTATAGTTATGAACAAACTATGCATTTGGGTGGCAAAACACTTGGAAACGGAAGAAAGAATTCACAGCAGATTTTAAGCCTAACACAAGATAACTAAAAGTCAGTCTGAAGAGCTGAATTTAATTCATTCTCATTCTTTTATTAAAATAAATATGAAATAATGGATGGTATAAAGTAAGTAAGCCAACTGGATTGCTCCCTCACAACACAAGAAGAAATGTTCTCTGAAACAAAACATTTAAGTAGCAATCTGATCATATGCAAGGAAGATCCTCAGTCATTATTATTTTCAGTGTATGATCTTAATATAGTATTTAACTGTCCTGCATGTTTTAATATTTATCTGTAATCCACTTCTGTACAATGCAGAGTCTTATTTCCTGTTTTAAAGCTGGAATGAATGGCAGATTTATTACTAAACACAAGAATGCCGCAAACCAACCTTTGGTTCTACAGTCAGTACAGACTGGCCCAGATCTATACTACTTAGTACTAAATAAGCTTTAGAGGAACTTGTTTTGGAGAAAGCTGGTCCAAAACAGAGCTAAGAAAGGAGCTAATAGGCACTGTAGATAATCACAGATCAATCCAGTGCTTGAGCTCATTCCTTGGCCCTTTTTCATTTATCAGTACAGATGTACTCTGTGGTTTTAAGTAACTTGACCAAGGGAGGCTACAGTGCAACAGGGAAACTTGAGTTCAATTTGATATTGTAAGCTAACATCTCAACTATCTGGCTGACCATCCTTCCTCTGAAGCAGCAACCCCACTTCATTAAAAAATAATGTATATTAAAAAAATACAGCTTGATGGTGGATCTTACTGCCAGAAGGTAAACATGAAGCCTAAAGCTTATTAACAGGATTAAATCTCCTGATTGACAGAGGTAGGATACTCTTTCCAGCTCACTGTTTCTGAAGCCTGGGGGGTATAGGGAAGGAAACAGCAAAACTAAACCAAACCCCTTAATCCAAGAGCTCTTCCTATATGTCACCCTTTTTTCTATCAGCCACTGATTTAAAAGGAGGATGAAGGAGAACTACCATGCAGACAGTATTAAGCCTTATTTCTGTAGGAAAAAAAAAAAGAATTTAGAGAACAAACGGAATTCAAACAAATGTTATAAAGGATTTAAACTAATACAAGCCAGGTCCTAGCTGATAATTTTACATTTTTTTTCCTTTAGTTTATTTAAATTAGTTTGTTTAAAGTAGCCCTTAAATTTTTCATTAATTGGTGGCCTACTACTAATTTTTAAGCACCTAAGGCTAGATAATATCCAAGACCAGACAATAGAGAAAGTCAGTGATCTGACCCAACATGGTAATTGTTACTCTCTTAAAATTACTGAATACTTCGGTAAACTTCCATCTTCTGACATTTCAACCTACACCCGCTTCTCAGGCCAGTATCCCAGCACCTACATTCACCCAGCCAGCACGTCTAATTTTCCTCCTCTCGGTACTACTACTGTCTTAAGCCTTTTTTTGTTGGAATAAATGGACCTCCTTCCTGACCCTTTAGTCTGTATTTCCATCACATGCTCTCAACGCGGAGCTTTTAGGCTTTGAGTGCCTACTTGGCACTTCTCTAAAAACAAAACTGAAAAACCAGTAGGGCAGGTAATTCCCTGCATCACGCAGCTGTGTGTCCAACACATACATTTTTCACAGCGTGGAAGTACAAAGACATCGCCACTATCTACCATTCTGTGGCCAAAGATTCCAACAACATCACTGAAAATTTAGGGTTACGTAAGTTAGCTATTACTTTTTCATGAGCAGTGTGCCTGCTGGTTTCCAATCACTGCCAACAGAATTTTCCATATACAAACGAGCCCAAACTGCCTGACGTGAATCTTCAAAAAAAACAAACAACAAAAAACCAAAAAAAAACCCCAAAATACAAGGAGCAATTTCCCAAAGTACTTTGACAAATAACCTCCCAGATCCATAAGGAGACACTCAAAAAATGACTACCATTGCTACTTTAACCTGGCCTAGTCACACCCCCCTCCACCCCTCCCCGCTCTCCCTGGCACCGGGGCTCGCGTTGGCGAGGCGGCACCTCCAGCCCCCGCCGGCCCTGACCACCGCTCGCCCGGCAGCCCAGGGCAGGAGGATTCCCCGCTCCTTCCGAGTCAGCCTGACCGCACCGCGGAGACGCGGGGCCCCGCACCTGCCGGCCGGCCTCAGGCTTCTCCGCAGGGAGAGGATCC